TGCACCTGTTGATCCGTCTGACACTGTGACCTGCTCTGCACAGCGGCACAGCTGAGCTCCCCGTCTCTGTTCCTATCTATAGACCGGCCGACCGAGGCTGACTGACTGCTACATCACTGGCCTGAGAAGGTAACCTGATCAGGACCACACACCTCCAACACTCGGCTAGTAACTGCTCAGCGGTGCCGCTAACAGCGCTTAATTAACAAGGTCCTGATGACATGTATCAACCTCCCATCACTTTATTTAAAGTAACTAAGACTGTTTTGGGGTAAAAGAAGGTCAGAAAAATCTAATCTATCACAAACCTGAACTCAGGACAGGGAGAAAAATCAAATTATTTCACTTTAAAAACACATTAGATAAATGTAGAGAAACATTTCATACAAAACAACCCCTCACAATGTGTGCAATGCTTTCTTTATCCGTCAATTCTACATAGGCTTCAATTTAAATTGATTAAGAGAAGGTTAAAAGCAAAACTTTTAGAAACTAAAACAATATTTCATCATAACAATTGAGTTTTCTTTATTAGCTCATCCCAAAAAATGCTGATGGTTTAGGAGCATCATCTTCATCAGACCGTCTTCAATCTTCAAATTCTACAATAACTCGAAGAAATCTCTATGCTATTTTCTTAAGATGTTTTAATTTCCTTTTGGAATAAATTTGTTTTTTTTTTTACAGAACTGAACGACTTTCATTCCCCTCGTTACTTTAGAGTTATTGTACTCAGTTTTGTGCAGCAGTCGTTCACGTTATAATACTGTAAAGGTGATTAAACAGAGGTCGTCTCATTTGTCATTAAAATGTGCGCAAAACATGCCTTGCATGTCTGCTGGAACACATTTTTATTACTATGAAATCATTTATCAAATACATGCATAAATACTTTAACTGATTTTACTCATGCAATGCATATCTCTAAAATACAAAAATAAAAAACGCATTTTGCGTTAGCATAAGCTCCTTTATTTAAATAACATTCATGACTATGGCACTTTAGCCTTTTATAGAAAGGCTGGTTTTAAAGGAATAGTACACCCAAAACATGATTAGCCTTCATTTTCTACTCACCCCCATGCTGAACAACACTCTGGAGTACTTTTTTGATATCTCAAATGCATCTGGAGATCTGGGAGGCTTCTTGCTGTCTGCTGACATTCAAATAATGGAGGTCTATGGCGCCCGAGGCAGAAAGGTCCATAAAAGTCCACAAAAAACGTGTCAATATTCCTCCATACTGCTCGTCCAATGTATTCCAAGTGTCCTGAGTGGGTAGCGTCCATAATTTACTCGAAACGAAGTCATTTAGAATGTTTTTAGAGCATAAACAGTAGTGTATAGGATTTCCTGAAAGCGCGCACATGCGCCTTCACGAGTCTACGGAAACCGCGGCAGACCAAACCAGATGAAAGTGCGCATTCAGCGTCTGCTCTGCCAATAATGCAAGCGTAGAAGAAAAAATGTGCCGTTTACCTGTGCAAAGAAAGAAACAACGAAAGAAAAATGTCTGAGGACTTCAGTGTTGAGGAAGAGCATGAGTTCTTTGCCGAGCTGAATGCGCTGGTTTGGTCTGCCGGCTTCCGTAGCGTCGGGATCGCGCATGTGCGCGCTTTCAGGAAATCCTATACACTACTGTTTATGCTCTAAAAACATTCTAAATGACTTCGTTTCGAGTAAATTCTGGATGCTACCCACTCAGGACACTTGGAATACATTGGACGAGCAGTATGGAGGAATATTGACACGTTTTTTGTGGACTTTTATGGACCTTTCTGCCTCGGGCGCCACAGACCTCCATTATTTGAATGTCAGCAGACAGCAAGAAGCCTCCCAGATCTCCAGATGCATTTGAGATATCAAAAAAGTACTCCAGAGTGTTGTTCAGCATGGGGGTGAGTAGAAAATGAAGGCTAATCATGTTTTGGGTGTACTATTCCTTTAATAAGAAACAAACCCGGAATTGAACATTTCTAATCCTGCAGTCGAGTAAAACGACTGAACTTTCTTAAGTCATAAGCAGAGGCAACTATTCCAGCTCGTTATGGAGAGAAAGTGTTTCACTTTCCTTTGTGACACCGACCTTTGATTTTAACCATTAGATCAAACAGCAGAGACACTGCAATCATGCACAGACACTCCCTCCAGGCAGCGAGGGAAGCCAAGACCTGCCTACACTGTAAACCAGCGCGTCCCTTAGACCCTAATCTCAGAAACAACGGGGACTTTGGCCAATGCTGCGCTTGTAAGCAAGCTGGTGCTATTTCAAAACGATAGCCAAGAAGTAACTTAAGGTGCCTCAGAATGAGGCTGGTGAGTGTGCAGGCTCAGATTCACACTCATCCTCAGCGGTGAAGCATGCCAAGAACAGAGGGGGGCTCTGAGAGCTCTAGGAGGCCAGGCAGAAACTGAATGCTAAGATTTTATTTTAATTTTTTTCGGAGGGAGGTGATAAGCAGGTTACTCTGACCTGCTGAACTTACTAAACCATTGATTTAATCTTTGCTTTATTCCACAAAAGGGATTCAGATTTAGGAGCTGGCTGGGAGGGTCGGATGACTCATGTTTCTATGATCGGCATGGCCGACTATAAGGAAAGCAAATGGAGCCGTGCATTTGCTGCTTGAGAACGAGACGCTGCATAGCTTTAGAAAAAAACAACCCAAACAAAAAAACCCAAGGAACGAATTTATCCAGAATTTAAAGCATCTTTTTAAACCAGGAATTCAAGGGTCTTAATCTGGTGTTTATGGAAAATCTGGCCTTTGTCCATTTCTTTATTAAAACAAAATACCAAAAGCTTTCTCTGGAAAAAACCCCAAAGGAATGAAAAGGCTGCTGTGGAAAAAAAAAACGGATTCAGCCCAGGGCATGTCTTTACAGGCCAGGCGGCCCGTTCTCCTCTGCTTGGATTTTCTCTGACAAACAGAAATACTTCTAGTCAACTTCTCTGCGGCCCGAAAACAAACCAGCTGTCCCAGCTCGTTTTGACCAAAACAAATATCAACCAGCAGAACCAGAACATCCGCGTGTGGATCGGCAGGACGCAACGCCAGAATTCAGCAAAGCTGGCTCTGAACCAGAGTGTTGAATGGAAAGTTTCCCCAACATTAACAGAGTCCAACCACATGTAAACAAAGCTCACTCAGCAGTCAGAAGGATGCTGGTCATCTCTGAAGCTTCAGCTGGTTTTATATACCAGCATTTCATGCACTAAAGCAGAGCCAGCAGTCAACGAGCGGGTCAAACCAATCATGTTTCATATATTTTTCATCAATTAGTTTGTTTATGGCAGAGGTCTGCAACCATCATATCCAACGAGCCATTTGGCCCCGAGTCTGACCGAGTAAAAGTTGTTTAGAGCCACACCGAAAAAAAGAAATCACCTTTTAAAAGAACAAAAACAGTCTTTTTCTTATAATTATTATCATCATCATTATCATTATTATTATCATCTGGTATAAGAAAATTGGTTGCAAACAAATTATGTATTTTTAGCTTTTAAAATAATATTAAAACACATAAATTTCAAGCTAATTAAAAGAAAAATTGTTCTAAAAACACATTTTTGGTTCTTTTAATGTCATTCTTTTCCTTCTTATAAAAAACTAGAACGTTTCAGACTCATTTAGCTCTTTATATACATTTTAGCAACCATTACAAGCTGCTTTAGAGGGTCTAAAAGAGCCGCATGTGGCTCTGGAACTGCAGGTTGCAGAACCCTGGTTTATGAGTATAAATGGGAGGAGTGAGGGTTTCATTTGAGAGGCTAAAGCCCAGCGTACACTGCGATTTTTTTCCAATAGCTGCACGCACCTGCTCCTCACACTGTAAGACTAAACCCTGCGTTTAGTCGTACAGTGTGAGTCACAGCTCACGATTTATGTTTGGCCCGACGGTCTGATGCGATCTACCTGCTCGCACTGTAAGACTAAAAACCACATTGGACTCAGCTCGGCAGTGAGATGGAGCCGCTCTGTAGCTCTCTATCCTGAAGCCAAACAAATAGAAGGGGGATATTAAGCTCACTATCGTGAACCGCGCTGCCTTGGCAGTTTGTGCAATTTTGTGCTGAGGGTCCTAGAAAGAAAGGGCGACGACGTATTTGGACAAAGGACGTGGCTGAGCAGGCTTGGCTGCTGCGGTCCGTCAATTTTGCAGACGGAGCTGCATTTCACTCATAGCATCCCTGCCACGCTTCTGTGCTTACATCTGAGCGAATTGCCCACGACGGTCGTGAGAATATCAAACATGCTAGATATTCTCACGACCTCCCGATTCCTGATCAGGAGGTGGTCATGAGAGGCTGATCACCTGTACACTACACGACTCACCACGCACGATCAGGCTGAAAGTCGGGCCGATCGAAAGATTCTCGCACGACTGGAAAAATCGCCCCGAAAATCACACAGTGGCTCTAGTTCAGGGACAAAGTTGGAGCATGCTAAATGTTTTTTGTTGTTTTTTTATCTTAAAAAGAGTCATGAACGTTTTCCCAAACTGCAGTTCATTAAAGTTGCATTTAAAATAGGGGTTACAGATTTCGGAAAATTATCTAATTGCGATTTTTTAGCTTAATATTGCGATTTTTTTCCCAGTTTAATTTCTCAATACATTTAATAATAATCAGATTTAACCCAAAAAAAATCCACACAAGCGACGTACTGCTCCTTTTTGTGTTGGTTTTTGTCGGGTCTGAGGCCGTTGTCGAGCAGGTTACTCGCATACGAGTATCGACTTTCCCTCCCTGCTACTTTGCTAGCAACTCACCCCCGATCACGTGACCCGTCAAATCGCGGCCTTTGCGGTTAGAGAATCTCGTTTTACCCTATTGTGATATTATTGCAAAAGCAATTAATCGTTCACCCCCAATTTAAAACAGACAAATCAGTCCTTTTCACTGCTCAAAACAGGAACATCTGGATGAAGTGAAATGATATCCCCCTAGAGGACGTTATTTGATAGATCAGATTATTCTTCAGCTTGAGGGAACTCACCTCTCGAGCGATGCTGCTCAGAGCTTCATCCTCCGCTGAGAACCGATCTTTCACAGGAGCACGCTTCCTACCAGTGCCTTGAGTCCCCATCTTAGCACGGCAACTGAAGTTTCACCAAAGAGTAAGGCTGGAAGAACAGACAGGGCTGGATGGAAACACCTGAAGAGACATAAGAGAACGATCCTCAAAGGTCTGTAAACAACAGGAACCCTGAACATGCTATTTAACGTAAGCCAGCATGCTATAGGTAAGGTTTAAGCATTAGAGCTGTTTGTAGACAACACATACAATCATGAGCCATAAAATTATGACCACTCCAGATTCGGCTTCTGTGAAGTAACAAAAATAGCTCTTTTGAAGGAGTTAAATGACAGAGATTTGGTGGATGAGTTGAGTAACCCCTGAAAGTTGAGCTTCTCTTCCAATGATTGATTAGAAGGAGTGACTTAAAATACAAGCAAAGCATTAAAGACATTTTTTTCTGGCCTTCCTACCATAAAGCAGGTATTTATGCTCTTAGCAAAGGAAACATTACGTCATATGCATGTATGAGACAGCTGTACAACAAGTTTGACCATTTCCAAAACAAAGGCTTCATTACAAAACTGTTCGATAGTTTAAACTGGCTGTCTTCCTTTATTGAACCACCTGTTAGCACAGCCACCATTACCCACAACAGTTTATCTGAATGTTAACCCCTTAGCTTAATTACTTAACTATGAGATTTCAGATTGACTGTCAACATTTCCTTTTTTTTTTTACAGTGTCATGTCTGGCAATGTGGCCATAAGAATAATTGCCTTGATGACAAAGAGAGCCCAACAGATTTTGCTTTCTCAAGTGGAGCAGTACGGCTATCGCCATAGTGTTCTGTTTGATTTATGCATATAAATAGGACACTGCAATGTAAGTAGAACAGAAAAGGAAAAACAGAAACAGAAAGGAGAAAAGATGAAAGACAGAGGAGATAAAAGACGATAAAATGTATTCAGTCTGCTTCATCACCTGCAAAGAGATGTAAAAAGAACAGCAAAACCAATGGATATACAGTATTATAAGAGAAACAAGAAAGTAACACCTTGATACTATCGCTGAAGTATAAGTAGTATTATTTAATCTGACATGTATACTGTGGTAGCTGTAGATCAGAATATGGGCTTTCTTTATGGAAGTAAATCTCTGAGTACCTAGAAACAAGCACATGTAGTTTGTGAAAGTGCACTTGTGAATGCAAAGTTTATCCAAAAGAAAAATGCTCAACGGTGGTTGTGAAGAGCCAAAGACGCGCCCATCCAGAGCAACCCGGACGCCAAAAGGGATCCCCAGAGCAAAGCCGCCCAGGAGGGGCCAACCCAGGAAATCTGACCCCCCACCAAGGGAGGAGGAGAGACGGCCCAAAGGAAAACCCCAAGCCGCTGCAATGCCTAAGCCCCCAAGAGACGCAGGGAAGAGTTTGCTGGCTCTGCCAGCAGCATCCCGAAGTGGATCCGGCCCTGGGCCCTGGGGACATGAGGCCCCAGGGGCCTATCAAAATTTCCAACAAAAGGGATTCAATCGTCTAATTCCTCTTCCAGCCATTTCCTCCATCATCTCCATTTTAAGAATCGTTTAATTTATCCCTTTTTCCCAACATGGACCACAGCTGCCCAGCTTTTAGGGAGCAGCGGAGTATTTACCCAGGATCTGGCCGTACTCCTCCATGTTCCCTCAGTCCAGCATTTGACCACCATTGAATTCAAATTAAAGAACCGTAAAATGATCCCAGTGTTTCCCTAACCTTGGCTGGACTGATATTAAACTGTAAAATGTGCAGATAGGAAGATGCCATATGATGATCCATTTACAGACCAAAATAGTGAGAGCTCTGAAGTGTTGATGAGTTTAGAAAAGTACCCGCAAAACATCATATAGGCCACTTGTAGCCTTTGTAGGCTGGATTTTGTATATGGAGACCACAGGTGGAGGAAAACGTGTTAAAAAGTTCCACTTTTACCACATCAGAACATGGACCAAATTTATGAGCAAGGGTATTAGCTTGCGCATACAAAATTCTACATTATGTACAGATATCATCATCATTTGACAGATTCTCTGTTATGATGTGCCCAAGATACTTGGTTTTATTTGATTGAAGCATTTCTATTTATCATCAAAAGGGTGAAACTGCAGATCTGTCTACATTACTGTCACTGTTGGTGTGGTGTTTGCATGAAAACACATGCAACAACAAATGCAAAAAAGTAAGCCAAAAAGGCTTTTTTATCCAAGCAGGTGGCCAAAACCGACTGACAAGTGTATATCTGTCTGACATCGGAGGCGTTCTTGGTTTCCTGAAGGTTTAGGTAGGTGGCTGGGATGCATGCAACATCCACAGGAGTCCCAGAATCGTGGTTTTCAGACATAAACACCACAGCAGAACAAGATGAGTTGTTTGCCCTCAGTGTGGGCGGTCATGATGTTATGGCTGGCTGGTGAGTATTATAGCTACATCTAACTGTGCATCCAAAGAGCCACGCAAACCCTCAAGGGTTTACTTTCATTACAGCAAAACACAAAGTCACTAATGTAGAGCTCCATTAGGGTTTCTGACTGCAGATTATGGCTCACATTAAACACCTTTAATCATATATGCAGGGCTTCTACAGCTTCATAAATAAGCTTGAAAATCTAACATTCAAACTGTTTATCCATTATTAATTTGAGAACCTAAGAGTTGACGTCCATTAAAGCAGACCTGTGCATTTTACTGGGAGCTCTTAATGGTACTATCCGGTGTAGGTACCAGATCTGCTCGGGTCCTGCTTCATGCCAGTGACGTTACGCTACATGATTGGCTGAACGTTGCCACATGATGTAAAACATAGCGGTTGTCCAGAAAACAATAATACCAAAACGCAGCTTCTGGTAGCGTGCCTAATAACCAATGAAGTTTTACCTGATCGAAAACAAAACTGAAAAAAAATCTGTTTATGGTGAACAAAGTAACTGCAAGACCGTGGTATAAAGGGGTAGCGCTGTGGCTAGTTGTGCTCAATACCTAGCTAGTTAGCCTTTTTTAGCTCGGTCAGTTAGCCATATTAAGCTACACTACTTTTGAATTCGTATCAACAACAACCATTCGTTTTCTACAAGTAGAATAACTGTTGTTTTCTTCGTCTAAATCTCTATCAAAGTCATTTTTCAGATGTTACATTTGTCGTCCCCTGCCCTCAGACCTTAATAAAAAGAAATAATAAGCTGAGACTTTTTGTGTCACCTTGTTAAATGGAAGAGCTAAGTCTGCCTTAGAAGGCACTACTTTCCTTCAAGACTGACAATTATTATTTCCTACTTTAAATCAACAATGAAATGTAAAATAATAATAGCAAATATAGGTAAAAATGTTTAAATACTCTGCTAACATATGGGATATGTGCATTTATTCTGCTACTGTCATCTCTGTTTAGCCAAATTTCACTCTGCCGTCTTGGACTTCACATTTTATCTTTTAGATGCAAACATTGCATTTATCAAAAGTCCAGTACGAAATATTCTTGAGGGCATGCTTTGGTGGTGCAATGGTTAGCGCAAATGACCCATGTATGGAGACCTTACAACTTGACGCGGCCGACCCGGGTTCGAATATGGCCTGCGGTCCTTTCCCACGTCTCTCTCGAGCCACTACTGCTGTAAGAACTCAATTAATTCTTATTATTCTTGGAATAGTTTGACCCTAAAAACATTTACGCATATCTTATAATATGATCATACATTTTATTTATTTCCATTAAAAGTTATATTTGTACCAAGTAGACTAAAAAGAATTCCTCTAGTTTTTTTTAAAGCTCCTCTGTGGTGTTCCTCTGGGCTCGACTTTTGATCTATTTATTTATTTTTTTATTTATATCAGCCATTTTGACACATCATTTGCAAATATATTGTATCCTTTCATTTCTATGTAGAAAATATTTTTTTCCAGTGACCCTTTCCTCCGTGCTGCTGCAGACATACTAGGGCTAAAACTAATGGCTGTATTGCTGATTGATTAATCCATCGATGATCGAATAGCAAAAGGACCCGCAAAGAAGATAAAAAAAACTGATTTTAATCCAGTTTAAGATAAAACTATCCCACTTTAGCTGTTCTGGATAGAGCATATAGATGAACAATTTTCATCTTATATTCATTTTGATATAATGATTGCTCTGTCTGTGTCGCTCTTATAGCATGTTTTAGAGTATTTTTACTTCAGTTACCAATTAATAAATTAGTTGACCATCATGTTTCAGCTCTAAAACATCACCTTCATGTCTTGCAGATATCAACATCTGGATGTCTAATAAATATTTATCGTTAAATGAGACAAAACAGTCCTGAGGCACAAAAAAATGATTGAGATGCTTAATTGCTTCGGTTCCTGCTGCAATCGTGAGTCAGAAATCTTGATGTTTTAGATTCTGATTTAAGCTCGTCAAAAAACTTTAATAAAACTAAAACCGCCTTTTAGCAGATTAGGAATATAGCTGAAATCAGAATCGGGTTTATTGCCATTGTTAGTGAAGGAGTTCACAACTAGGATTTTTTTATGGTACAATCATGCAACATGAAACATATAATATGGAATAGGTAAATAAAATTATAAAAATCTCTAAAAACACTGGGGTATAAGGCATGCAAAAAATATACTAATATATACACTTAGGATAAAAATATGGATAAATTAAAAAAAATATACAGAGCAATCATTATATCAAAATTGGGGGGAAAAAAGGCTCTTGTTCATCTATATAACGCTCTATCCAGAACAGCTAAAATGGGTTAATTTTATCTTAAACTGGGTTAAATAAGAATTAAAGTAATTTCTGACTATCTTGGTTATTGTTATTCTCTTTTTGTTGATGTGAGTGAAAAATACCTTAAAAATGAATCCAATTAGCAGTGAACTCAGCAGCTGAGGTTTTCACCAAACCCTGTAGGTCTGATCACATTACTTGAATTTTTGCTATTTTGCACTGGTTACGTTTGATGTTTAGAGTGCATTTTAAGATTTGATTGTTCGTTTTTATGCTCCTAAGCTATCTAGCCAGTTGCTACTTTCTGTACCAAGAAGACTGAAGACAGATTATCAAGCTTTTATTGTCAGGACCTCTTTATATCTGACAAACCTCCTCGATGTTCTCTTCTAAATCTCTTTTAGCCACATTTTACTACAGATATGCTTTTAACTAATGATTTTATTAACTTCTAGCACATTTTTTGTTCTTTATGCACTTTTATTCTTGTTTTTCTTAAAGTAATGTAAAGCAGTTTTTAATCGTGTTTTATAAAGTGCTATACAAATAAATGTATTATTACTAAACACACTTATTTAGATCCTGTTTTATTTGTGTTCCTTTGGATAATTATGGCTTAAAGCTTAAGAAGATCCTCCATTCCTACTAACAAACTACATCCATCTGCTGTACACTACATTCACTCTGTGTTTTTTTTAGAAGATTTACTGCATGGAAGAGGTGATCAGCCTGTGGCTCTGCATGTCTGAGGAAAGTCTGTTTTAATTTGCATAGATGGCTCTGGTGCCTGTAAACTTCCTCTTCACTCTACAGAGTCCCCATGGGGTCTGCAGCAGACAGGTTAGCTGGCTAATCAAGCTCGTTAGCAACACTTTTGATCGCTTTAGCAGGATGGGTACAGAGCCCTGCTGACTTTGGACCTGATGGAGGACCATTAGACTGTAGAAATTTCACATTGGACCCTCAGAAGCTTAAAGATGCCTTTAGACTCTTCCTCCAGACACTAAAGTTGATCATTTAACAATAGTCCAGTTAACCTTAACCAAGCAATGACACATCTGATGTCTGTGGTTAAGGAGCTGTTTCCCACATCCTCAACATGTCAAGTAAACCGCAGACAGCCGCAGTGCACCTTCCTGTTAATCTGCCCCTAAATCTTGAACAGTTGTGGCTTCATAACCCCCCTATATTTATGCATCTTTCTCTGCCGGATTTTTTTCCTTCCACTCAGTTTTCCATTCATATGCTTGGATAACCAGTTTATTTTTTTATGCATCTTTTTTCATTAGCTTCAAATTATGAACTTAGAATTGTTCAAAATAAAACACCTGGAATATATATTTCTCAAAATGTAAAGAATCTATGCATCCATTTGATTATACTCTAATGTAATAGTTGTTTATAGATGTTTGAGCCCTGCCTATTTTTTTTAGTATAGTCCTGTTTCT